CAGCCGCCACGGTGCAGCAGCTCCTCTGATGCACACATACACACACCAAATACACAACAACAAACACCCAAGTGAACACAAGCACACACACACACACACGTACATGCAGAGTGTATTGATGTATGTATTGATTATGCATATTAGAAGCAGAATGGATCAATACTGAATGAAGAATGGCCTAAAACATTTCATATAATAAATACAACTCAGGGCATCTTTGCTGACTGGGTATGATGACACTTTGATGAAACTGTTTGCCTTTGTGGAGGATGAATAATGTGCATTTGTTGCATTTTTTGTATATATTATAATGGATTGAGACTGAAAGCTTAATTAACGCTGAGTCAGAATGAGTAATGAAAATGCGCTGAGCTCTGCTGAGTTTCACCAGTGCAAGCTTTCTCCAGTAGACAGGTAAGGAGACAGGTGGACACAGACCGGGAGAGGCCGGCTGAACAGCTACCTGCTCTGCTCTGCAGTTCATCTTCCTGCAGCAGTAGCCTCTCCTTGGCAACCGCTAGCTCCTCCTCTGCCCGTTTAGCCACACCCTCTGCTTCGGACACACGCCTTCGATCCAGCTCCAGCTCCTCTTCCAAGTCCTCCAAGAGGGAGGCATGAGGGTCAGGAGGGAGTTTTGGTACAGTATCAGGGCAAGTAAGGAAGGTGATGCAGAGGAGTATAGTGGGTTGAGAAAAGGTACAGGAGAATAGAAAAAAAGAGGGAGCATGAGAAGCCAACAGCAAGTTTGACACAGATAAGGAAGAAGGAGAGAAGAACATAAGTTAGAGGGACAGGTAGTGCAACAAAAAAAAAGGCAGATGAAATGTGGTGAGTTAGGGAGCTATCTCGTCCAGCTGTGAGCCTTTAATGGTCTGCTGTGCGGGCTTATGTCAGCTCTATGCCAGCTCTCGTAAGGCTTCTTAATGCTCTTGCGTGAGGTGGTAATGGTGGTGGTGCAGTGAATTTATCCTGCTCAAGCTACTCATTAGCAGATAGCTGGCAGCGGGGAGAGCACTCAGGGAGGGCAGCCTGTGGTTAGACAAGTTGAGATCTCTCCTCTCTCTCTCTCCCACCCTGCTTTCCCATCAGCATTATCATTAGCTGGGTGCACTTGAGACTGGAGACTACATTTCAGTTTCCTTTTACCAATCTTTTCATAGCAATAGATTCTAGTTTTGGTATAAGAGAAAACATTATGAGCGAGCATGTGTGTGTACCTGTATTCGCTCTTGTAGTTTGACTGTGTTCCTCTTGCTTTCAGCCAGCCTCTCCAGGTGGCTTTCCACCTCTGCTTCAGCCCTCTTCACTCTTTCTCTGAGAGCGCTGTGCATTCCTTTCTTCTCCTCTTCTTCTTTATCCTCCCACCTCTGACGCTCCTCCCTCCATTCTGCCTCCATCTTCTTCCTCATTTCCTCTTTCTCCTCATTTAGATTATTCAACTTTTTCTCCCACTGTTCCCGTTTTTCTTTCAATGCTTGCCTCTTCTCCTCCTCCACTCGATCCCTCTCCTCCTTCAGTGCCTCTACCTCCTCTAAGAGTGCTTTTACTCTGTCCATGTCCACTTTTATTTGTCTCTCCTCCTCCTTCTTCTTTTCCTCATCTTCTCTCTGTCTGTCCTCATCTTTCCTCCACTTCTCCTCATCAGCAGCTTTCTGCAGCTCCTCACATTTGGCATCCAGCTCCTGTATCTGCTCCCGAGCCTTCTCCAGGTCATTGCTCAGCCTCAGGCTATCCTCCTGGGCAGCAATGACCTGGGCCTTGGCCTCCTGGAGCTCTTCTCCTGCAGCCTGGAGCCTGTCCTGAAACCCTTTTCTCAGCTCTGCCTCGGTTTCACGTTCCCTCTCCTCCGCTTGGATGCGAAAACACTCAAAGTCTGCCTGTACCTGAAGGCACATATGACGACATGTTAAACACTGTACTTACACATAAATTCAGTGGTTAATTAGTATACATACAGTATATCTGCTGTACTAGGCGAGACATCCTTTTCTTTTAGAAATTCTCAAGGCAGTGATTCAGATAAATAGTTTTTTTCTCCAAAAAACACTGGAAAACGTTCAAGTGAGCCTGACAACACCCTGCATATTTTGTGTTGGTACATTCATACTGCAATTATCCTGTACAGTACCACTGCATCCTAAAAGTATTGTGCTGAAATCTAGGAGCTCTGCAGACCACCGGAGTGAACAGTGTGGACATTGTGTACACAAAACATTTGAAAAAAAGGACATACTGTGGCTATAAAGGCCAATTAGTTTCAACGTTGTGACATTCAAACACTCAGTGTGCAGCAAAATATCATTACCAGCCGATACTGTGGCCGGTTGGAGCCACAACTTCCTCTTTCAAAAGTCTGGATTCCTGTTTGTATCACTGCACTGCGGAATACAGACTATGCCCAAATATAATGGCTGCATGCATTTAAATTATGTTATAATGTTATAATAATCTGGAACTAAGGTATGTTCGGATATGATGGTAACAGATAAACTAATAAGAAACAATACTGGGGGGGCAGCAAAAGGCTAGCCGATCTGCAACTCCACAGTCTAGCTTTATGTTTATACATTTGCATTCTCATAGTATTTGAATGAGTGACACTAGTCCACTCCAAATCTGAATATATATTCTTCCTACTGTTATTGTTTTATCTAGCCCATGTTCCACATTACACTGCACAGGACTATGACTGCCTTTGCTCACCAAAAATACAAAACCCATTAGACCACACTTGTCTACACCCTGTTTCACAAAAAGCCCATGAGTTATAGCTTTTAAAAGGCTTTTTGTGCATTTGCTGCTAGTGTAGGTTGTTTTCTTGTAAAGGCCCCTATGATAGCTGTTCTACTAAATGATCTACTTGCTCTGAATTTGCAGCAAAACATGACAACCCAAGCAGAAAACCAGTGGCAGACCATAAACAAACTAGACAGATAAGCAAGGCAAAACATTTCAAAATAAAAGCTTAAGGTCTGTATATATTTTTTTATTTCTTTTGTTGTTAAGATCATTTGCTCCATAGAGCTCAGAGCATTTATAATTCATGTTGATGTTTTATTGTGGTGGACAGCATGTAAATTAGGCACGAGGTACATGAAGACTGGGTGGAGTAACAGGCTATCTGAACTAGGCTGACTGTTGTAGGTCAAATTAGGGGCAGGTTTAATTTGCTGCTCACACTGGGAGTTTACACATTAACCTGCAGCAATAAGGTCGGCTCATCTCATGATCAGGAGGGTAAGAGCGCACCGACACACACAAGGGGTAAATCCCAATTCCCTTAATTGCATCTACATTTCCCTCACTTGCCTCTTTTCCTTGTGTCTTAATCCTGCCCATGTAAAATATATGAAAAGATGCTAGGAATATTTTAGGGACATGAGACATCATTTCCTCCAATCCTTCATCTAAGGCATCCAATCACTGACTGACTGACAACTTCTGGGTCAAGCGAGGATCTAGGAACGATCAAATAAGGGAACTAGGATTTACCCGAGGACTCACATGTGCACACACCTGAGCTCCAACTCTCTGCTGCTCATCCAGAGACTCCTGCAGCTCCAGGAGGCGTGTTCTCAGCACTGACCCTTCCCCTTCATTACATGTTTCCATCAAGATGCGGCGCAGCTCCTCATGGTGGGCATGGTTCAAGGCCTGCAGGGCCGCCTCCTGCTCCTCATTCTTCATGTTCAGAGAATAAATCACCTGGAGAGCATCAACAGCAGACAGGGACAGACTTAACAATTGTTCACATTTCTGCCCTAAAAATAGGACTTTTGTAATCTGTTCATCTTCTTTTAGGAAAGGCTCGTGCTTTTCTTTTGCATCTAAACAGCAACAGATCACCACCAGTGCATTTGACGGACACATGATTATGCATCTCAGACGTGCCTTGTGTCATTTTAGGTAGATATTACCACGCTTATTTATGTACAAGTACCAATTTTTTTATTACTTTAGCTATTTGATGATATAATAAGGGGTGTATTGCAGATGACTTGACAGCTTTGATTGGTGACCTCATACTGCAGCTCTATCTCTGGTCGCTAGTTGCACAGAATCTGGTTGCAAAATGCATCACAAAAACAAGATGGCCACCCCTGTATTCACAACATTTTGGCTTCATTTTTTCATGACAGGAAAGGTAGGAAGTGGTGACTCATCATCCATATTTATATAAACATACAAGGCATTCTGAGCACACACACACTGGATGGACAGCAAGAGGAACATGAGGAAAATGTTGCTGATTTGACAAAATGTAATGAATTTGCATCATTAACTATACGCTGATGGTTACAGTTAGCACTCTGTAGGATTCAGATGATTCACTCCTTGGGATTGTTTCTTAATACATCAGAGGTACAGCACAAACACTAGGAAAGCTGACAAAATAGTTCACATACACAGACAATCTTTTGAACTGGTACAGCTTTATGATAACAAATATTAAACTGTCACTGACCAATGTGGAAACACAATCATCTCCAAACACAAATAATAGAGGGCAAACAGCAGCACTGTCAAGTTGTATTTGTCTGCTGTAACCAAAGATCAGTGAGCCAATACAGTCCAGGAGCTGCAGCTTCACGCACTGTGTCTCCTGCATGTGTGAAGTTTCTCCCTTTTCCACATTTAGACTGTGACTAACACATGAAATATAGACAGTAACACCCTACTATTCACTTTACCCTCTTCACATGTCTACAGTGTTATCATGTGTCCTACTGACCCTGACGTTTCACTTACCCACTTGCAAGACTGTGTTTGTGTGTGTGTGTGCATGAACATGGGGGTATGCAGGGGGCACATGGGCTCATATTTTACCCAGACGCCTTTCTGTCTACAGTACACAGCTAGTACTGTTGCACATTTAGTGCCTTTGTATTACTTACATTATGGGGACCGAAACCTGTTAACACACTCACATTGTTGGGACTCAGCCATCACTGAATTTTAGGGTGGCAACATGGTTTGGGGTTAGGTTAAGGTTAGGGTCTGTAGGGTTTGTAGACCATTGTAAATGTTCTGAAAAAGTATTAGACATTGGTAAACTGCATACAGCCTTAACATAACCCAGAAAGATAGAGTAATGTCACACTTTGATTCAGCTTCTTGGGTGTAAATTCTTAAGATGCTTGGCAACTTGGTCAGAGAGTGGTGAGGGCCTCTTGCTACAGTAAATCTTGTCTCGAGATTCCCATATTGATCCTGCCAGTCAATAATGTTATTCATGTAGGCCATGTAGCCTCCCGAGCCAGTGCCCGTGCTTACTGACAATAACTTCATAGTCAGCAAAGCATGAAATTAAAAAAGGTGAGTGCAGGCGTGGCTGCTGAAAGAGGAGTGAGGTGTAGAGTGAACACTTGGTGCACAGAGGAGAGGTTAGGCACAGAGAAAAGCAAACGTGCACACATACTTTGTCTTACATCAGCCCTGCCTCCCACACACACAGCAACACATACGTCCACACATATCAAAGAGGGTACTGGATGTTCTGGATTACAAAGCAGGCAGCATTGTGACAGTGTAAGCTACAGGAAATCACATAGGCAGAATTAGAGATGCCAATCCAAAATGTGGGTGTATATACACACAAATTAATAGGCTACTGTCTATCTCTGTGAGTCTGCACAGAGGCTACTTATCTCTCTGTATTCATGTGGGTGTGTGTGTGTGTCTGTTCACACACAAGTATGAATATTCACAACAGCTGGCTCTACAAGGTCAGCTCCTGCTTTCTTCCTATTGCCTTGTTCTGCCATGTAAACACACACCAACACACTACTAGTTTATCTTTAGCAGCACCCATTCAAGCAGGGCAGACCACTGTCACTGGCAGAGAGGGAAGAGAGCTGTGTAAGTGTGGAGGGGTGATTGGAGGAGTGAGAGACAGGGAGACATCAGGAAGTGTGTTAAATCCACGTGCATGTGTGTGAGTCTTTGTGTGTGTCAGCCTCCATTTTTATGCACAAACAGGGAGTAGGGGTTATTAAATATATAAAGTTACCACAGCTGACCCATTTCCTGCTCCACACCCTGCCTCGTAACACTCAAATAAAGTATGTGTCACATGGTGAGAATCCCAAAGCCCAGAGAAAATGCTTACACCAAATATCGGACTTGATGATTCTTATATTTCATTAGCGCTCTGGGTTTCAGATTTAACTGTGGTCATCAAGGAACTAAAGAGGGTTTGCAGAAGGTTTTGAGAGACAAACAAATCCAAGCTTCTGAGAAGGAACAT